TGCACTCCAGTCTGGGTGACGGAGTGAGACTCCAACTCAAAAAAAAAAAAGGAAAGAAAGAAAGATGGAGTGGTTTTGCTACCTGTAGATGTATTCTGCAGGACTCGTTCTGTGTGCTTAAAACACTGAATTGTTGGGATTATTTCTGGGTTCTCTTGAAAAATGGGCAAATCAGAGAACAATGGACTTGTGATTGGCTTAAAGCCAAGTAGCAGCTGTCCTCTTTAGATAGGACATGGCTTCCAGATAAATTTTCACCTGGTAATTTATATCTCGAAATAAGCTTCACTTATTTGCATTGCCTTTTGGCCTTTCTAAGCAACTGAGTTTGCAAACCCTGGACTGCAGTCTAATTGAGGAAGTGGACTACAAGGGAAATGAAACTTTGTTCCCACTTTCTTTTTTTTTTGAGTTGGAGTCTCACTCTGTCGCCCAGACTGGAGTGCAATGGCCACTCCCGGCCACCGCAGCCTCGACCTGCTGGGCTCTGGCGACCCTTCCGCCTCAGCCTTCCAAGTAGCCGGAATTACAGGCATGCGCTACCATGCCCAGCTGATTTTTTGATTTATTGTAGAGATGAGGTCTCGCTGCCCAGACGGGTCTCGAAACTGCGGGCTCAGGCAATCCACTCACCTCAGCCTCCCAAAGGCGCGGGATTACAGGCTGAGCCACTGAACCCGGCTTGGTTCCCACTTTCAAGGAGCTTACTGGCTAGATGAAAAGACATGTAAACATTGCTTACAGTCTTCCTTCTGATGAACTAACAACAATACAAAGGAGAGGAAACCTGTAAGTGGGATGACCAACAGAGAAGAAAAAAGTAGATACTAGTCAAAAGCCACAATGATGTATTTATTTATTTATTTATCTTTAAATTTTTATTTCTTTGAGTTGGGGTCTCACTCTGTCGCCCAGACTGGAGTGCAGTGGCTGCTCCTGGCCACTGCAGCCTTGACCTGCTGGGCTCCGGCATTCCTTCCACCTCAGTCTTCTGAGTAGCCAGAATTACAGGCATGCGCTACCACGCCCAGCTGATTGTTTGATTTATTGTAGAGATGAGGTCTCGCCAAGTTGCCCAGGCGGGTCTCAAACCCATGGGCTCAGACAATCCACTCACCTCAGCCTCCCAAAGGCACGGGATTACAGGCTGAGCCACCGAGCCTGGCCACAGTGATTTAAAATACTTATCAAAGCACTCACAAACTGGGTGTGTAGCAGGAAAAATAGAGAGATCGTGACATCGAGACTATTATAGGAAGTGGCTGATCCTGAACCAGCTACATGTTTCTGTGTTTATTCACTCAATCATACAAGAAATATATTTGAGCATTTGCTGCATACTGCCACAGGTGATAGGAAACGGAGCAGGGGAAGAAGCGGGTAGGTCCTTAAAGGACTTGTGTTGAGGGACTATATTTAGGCAAGGAGTGAAGAGTCCTAAAAGGACTAAGTGTCATCCTACAGAAGTTGAGAGTTTCTCTGAATAAACAGTAGTTCTCAAAGTGTGGCACTGACCAGCATCAAGATCACCTCGGAACTTAAAGAAATGCCAATTCTTAGGCTGGGCATGGTGGCTTAAGTCTGTAATCCCAGCACTTTGGGAGGATGAGGTGAGAGGATTGCATTGCCTGAGTCCAGGGGTTCGAGACCAGGTTGAGCAACTTGGTGAGATCTTGTCCCTAAAATAACTCAATAATTTAGTCAGGACTGGAGTCAGTGGCTCAGCCTGTAATCTCAGTACTTTGAGAGGCCAAGGAGAGTGAATTGCCTGAGCCTGCGGGTTCTAGACCAGCCTGGGCAGCTTGGCGAGACCTCATCTCTACACTAAATAAAAAATTAGCCGGGCGTGGTAGCATGCTCCTGTAGCTCCAGTTACTTACAAGGCTGAGGTGGAAGGATTGCCGGAGCCCAGCGAGTTGACACTGGGGTGGCCGTGAGCGTGCCACTGCACTCCAGCCTGGGTGATGGAATGAGACTCCGACTCAAAAAAAAAAAGAAAGAATTTATCCTGGTGTGGTGGCATGTGCCTATAGATCCAGCTACTTTGAAGGCTGAGGCCGAAGGATCGTCTGAGCCCAGCAGGTCGAGACTGCGGTAGCTGTGAGCATGCCACCGCACTCTAGCCTGGGCGACAGAGTGAGACTCCTACTGAAAGGAAGGAAGGAAGGAAGGCTAATTCTTGGGTACCACTTTAGGTCTACTAAATCAGAAATGGGTGGGGCCCAGCAATCTGTGTTTTAACAAGCTCCCTATGTGAGTCTGATGCACTAAAGCTTGAGAACCACTTCAGAAAGGAAGTTAGAGGTTAGGCGTGGTAGCTCACCCCTATAATAGCAGCACTTTAGGAGGCTGAGGTGGGAGGATTGCTTGGGCCTAGGAGTTTGAAAACAGCCTGGGCAACAGAGCAAGATCCTGTCTCTACAAAAAATGCAAAAAAATTAGCCAAGTGTGGTCCATGCTTGTGGTCCTAGCTCCTTGGGAAGCTGAGACAGGAGGATTGTTTGAGACCAGGAGTTCAAGGTTATAGTGAGTTAATGATTGTGCCACTGCTCTCTGGCCTGGGTGACAGGGTGAGACCTTGTCTCAAAAAGAAAACCAAAAAGGAAAGTTAGAGAATGATTATTAATTTAGAATCCGGGATAGTAGTTACCTTTTAGGGGGTGAGATCTCATGTGTTAGAAGATGAAGGGAGGGCAGGAGGCCACTTCTATATAATGTTCCACTTCTTCCTTAAATATATACATTTTATATACACTTATATGTGCTATGATTCACAATAATACATTATTATTAAAATGTCTGTCTAACTAGTGAGTGCTGAGGGAATACAGAGTAAAGAAACAATTGGAGTCTAGGGAGACTGGAATCCGGGGAAAAAAGGAAAAAATAATGAAGTGTAGATCTGCTTATGTAAGTGAGTGATGGAGGTGCAATAGAGTATATGAAATTGAAAGAAAATGCACAGACATGAATCAGGGTAATTCAGAGCATTCAAAGAATGGAAGACAGGACATGTGTTCGCCCTGGAGAATGACCTGTGTAAGATGAGGAAGAAGCTGAAGTGGTCACACTTCACTGTATATTTTCTAAAATCAACAGATGTGGCTGGGTGCAGTGACTCATGCCTGAAATCCCAGCATTTTGGAAGGTGGAGGCAAAAGGACTGCCTGAACCCAGGGGTTCAAGACCAGCCTGGGGCGATACCTCAT